ATATATATATATATATATACGGGTTACGACTTTTAGTGAACGCTGATTAATAAATTTTCAACGATATTATTTTGTCATAATTTCGCATCATTAATCATCAACACGATTTTATCGGAAGACTAAAATCGTAGAATTTGTGTTTGATTAAATTAGAGTATTTGACTTACGTATGATAAATGGGAGGAGTAGTGTTAAAAAACTTACAATTGAAAAAATATCCTCCATTTACTAGAAGGCGTCCTGTATTTATCATTTCACAGTTATATAATTTATGATCACCTCTAAAATATTATGATTCTCCGCTTGCTTCTAACAGGAAACGGTGTACGAAACCGCGAAGAAGTGCCTAGCAAACGCTCGACAATCGGGATGGAGGCGCAACCTCAACAACGCAAAGATGGCCGTCTCGTTAGCCAAGATCAACCCTTGTAGGGCCCAATTAGAGTGGTACAAATCGTACTGCGACGATTCGGACAATGAATTGGGCTACTACGACTCGTTCAAGCAAATAGTTGCTTCTAGAAGAGACGCCAAAGTCAACATGAACCGGATAAGGCTCGGATGCTTTTGGGACGATTTTATCGATAAGCTCGAAAACAATCACTTAACTCACGATTTCCACAAGTTGCCGAAATACGTCAACGCCTCACAATTCTACAAACTACTAGTCGAGCCGCTGGAAATCGCGGAATATTATCGAAAAAATGTGCATATGGAGAAGGGGCATTATATCGAGAATGGGAGGGAGAAAAGGTTCAAGATTTTCGATAAGTGGTGGAGAGAGAGAAAAGTCGGGGACGAGGAAGGCAAACCGAGAAGCAAATACGCGAGTTTGACGCAAGATTCGTGCTTTTGGGCTAGGGTTGAGGAAGCGAGAGACGGGATTTATCGGGTTTTAGGAGAAACGGATGTGGGGAGACGTTTGGTGTTGTTGGGAAAGATCGAAACTTTTGAAGCGTACGCGAACGGGATGATCGAAAGGAAGGAGGTTTCGGTGGATGTTGTGGCGAAAAATTCGAGCTATAACTTGTTTGTAGAAGAATGGAGAGGCCTTAAGTTGCAGATGAAGATGATTATGCCATCACCCCATTTTCCAGGTTTTCAAGATGGAATGGTTCAGTGAAATTGAATTATATATATATATATATATATATATATATATATATATGTGTGTGTGTGTGTGTGTGTGTGTGTGTGTGTACGCGTGAAATGTGATCAAACACATAATCAACATTTAGTTATTTTGATATTCCACCTCTTTGTATGTAAAAATACTTTCTCGAAATTGAGGTATCAAAAAATTAACTATCTAAACATCATCCAATTATAAATTGACATGTGGTAATTATAAATGTAATAAATCAAAAACTTTCAATTGATAATCATAATTTGAATAGATGAATTTTAAATATTAATTTAATTTTAAATAATGTGATTTTGGATATATTTCAATTTGAATTTTGCAAACCTCAAAACACTAAAATTGTAATCCTTAAAGTTAGTTCGATAATTCATTTTAAATCAATTAGGTTGGATGTGAACTGAGGGTAATGTGCATAAATGAATGTATATTAATAGCAACTCCAACTCAAAATATCAAAATGAAATATCAAATATTAATTTTGATATTTCATATTTTATTTTGATACCTATATAAATTATTTTGCTCCAACAATATGTAATCAAAAAATAGTTAATTAAATATAAACAAAATGATTATATATGTAATTGTCACGTGTTATTTTCTAAGTGGTCATTTTAGTGGTTAAATTAATAACTTCCATTTGTTATTAGATCTCCGGGATGTACTTTTACATCTCAAGATGTGAATTATCAAAATACAAATCTTATTTGATAATCCCATTGGAGTGGATTTTTTGTAAAGGGCAATTTGCTATAGGTCCCTCTATATTAGTTTTTATGTGAATAAATCCTAGTCAAAAATCCTATTTTTTTATAAATTAATTGTATTTATTATGGCAAAAATACCTTTAATCAATCCAAATCAAACCACCCCAAAATATCTCTATCAAATTAAATCCCCCAAAATCTCTCCATCAAATCAAATTCCCCAAAACACCTCTCTCCCAATTTTAATTAAAAGAACAAAATCACGTCGTAAACGAAATATTTGTTGAAAAACGCAGACTCTCAAAAAACCTTTCACAATGATTTCATCAAATTGCAAATAGCAAACTGAAAAATATAATCTGTACTATTTAAGTGCAAACAGCAGACTACCTATGAATCGACCAAATGCAAACAACAAACTACTTCATCTAATTGCGAACAACAAACTGAAAATATGATCCAAACCATCTAAATTCAAACGCAATAACAACATTAATCAAAATAATAAACATAATGCAAATGTAAAAAACAACAACAAAATCTTCCAATGTCTAAAATTGCAATTTGCAGTTTGCAAAAAATCAACTGTTATGGATTGCAATTTGCAGTTTTCTGTTATATGCTTCAAATTTATTTTGCCATTGCAAAATTTTGTTGTTGTTTGCTGGAGCAAAATAAATTAGAAAACACAAACAAAAATATAAAATCGCTACAAATAAATATAGAGAGGGAGAAGTAAAGTGCTAACTTTTTGTAAGCAATGAGTTGTTTGTTGTCGGCTATTAACTCTTTCACCAACATATAATCTCATAATGTAAAGAAACTCTCTTTTGTTTCGCTATGTATTCCATCAGAATAATCAAATAGAGTATAAGCAGGGAGAGAGAGAAAGTGAAAGAGTAGAGAGGAGAAAGGAGAGAGAAAAAAAAATTGTGAAAAGAGAAAGGAGGGAGAGAAGGAAAAATCATGAGAAGAGAAGAGAAGAGAGGAGAAAGGAGAGAGAGAAAAAGACCCATGGGAGACGAGAAGAGAGGAGGGATGAGAGAGAGAGAGAGAGAGAGAGAGAGAGAGAGAGAGAGAGAGAGAGATTTATGGAAGGAAGATAGTGATATGTGGGATTTGTTTTCTCACTTCTTTACATAAATAACTGATTCCATATAAAACAATTGATAATTTGAGGGTATTTATGTCTAATAACTTGTAAAATTATTTAATTTATATTATTTTTTTGAGTCAAGAGACCTACACCTATATTCATCTAACAAATTGGATTTCCATCTATATAAGTCTAGAATAAGGGGTGTCTAGCCAATTTCCCTTTTTTTTAATTTGGAATATCAAAATGGTGTTTAAGGCCCCTTTTGGTTGGAGGGAAGGGTTGGGATGGGATTGGGGGTTCATATTGAAAATACAATGTTTAGTAAAATATGGATTGTATCTCGGGTTGGGTTGGTTGGATACGAATATGTGGGATTGAATCCTAACAGGCAAACTCAGGAATGGTTAGGAGGATTGGGTGAGATAATTTGGTTAATTACATTACCACCCCTGGAAATGCCTTTTTATTTTTATATTATACGCATGCCAATTTTTAAAATATTGCTTGCTGCATCGATTCTTTCCTCTTATTTTCATTTAATTATAAAATTATCCCTAACATTTTCGGATAATTACATTACCACCCCTTGCAAACCTTTTTATTATTATATTATACACCTGTCAATTTTGAAAATATTGCTTGCACCACCCATTCTTTCCTCCCATTTTTCTTTAATTATAAAATCAACCCTACCATTTTTGGTAAAATATTTCTTGCACCACCCATTCTTTCCTCCTATTTTCCTTTAATTATAAAATCAGCCCTAATATTTTCGGATAATTACATTACCACCCCTTGCAAGCCCTTTATATTATTATATAACACACCTGGCACTTTGTAAAATATTGGTTGCACCACCCATTATTTCCTCCCATTTTCCTGTAATTATAAAATCAGCCCTAACATTTTCGGATGATTACATTACCACCACTTGCACCTGTCAATTTGTAAAATATTGGTTGCACCACCCATTCTACTGTATTGTAATTTATAATTTGTGTTTATGATTGGAAAAATGAACATTAATATAACAGTTAGATGTCATTATATATATAACAAAATTTTTTGGAAGCCATATTAGACATTTTAGCTCCAAACTAACAGAAACTTCAAGAAATACTTGTAGAAAATTTACGTAAAATAATATGCCATATTACAGAAAATTTATATTTGTGACACACGAGTGGACTACTATAATGTCCATCACAAAATTAAATTAAAGAAGAAATAAAATGTCTTAAATATAATTAACGCCGCAAAATGGGGTCCGAACACGCAAAACTTCTTCGCCTTGTGAGTGGATGGTAGTCTACCTATCCGAAGGAGCGACCTTCGAGGATCATTCAAACCATAACCCCCTTTTTCTGTCTTTTGCATGTACAAGGCAAAACAAAAGCTTGGAAGCTGTGCAGATATCAGTCTCACCTACAATGATAAGACAACTAAACCAGTAACCATGCGAAGACGAGAAGCTGACACTTAAGTTCTCTTGCCTTCACAAGAACATCAATTTTGTCACCTTAGTCATGCTCGGTGAACCTGAGTACATATGAACAAATGCAACACACGTGTCAGCATCCCTAGAGTGAGATATAAAAAGATCTAAAGAATTCCCTATAGAGAATGACATCAACTGCAACTCTTGAAACAAATTATGCATTATTTAAATCAAAAGTTCTATAATTCCTTCTTCTATAAATGAACTATTACGCAATTAGCACTACCCAAAATTATATGCAGACACTACAGTTAACAAGACCTAAGCCTTGAAAGCAAATTCTTGAAAAAGAAAACTCGAAAGAAATTCCTTTTAATCATTTCCCACAAAAAGCTACGTGAAATGTTTTCACATTTAGTAGATAAACCTTAACCGAAAGGGAAGTAGATACAAGAGAAAATTGGAAGTTGGATCGGAGAAGATCTGTGCCTGTGGATTCTGAGCTTGGCCCTTAGGCACGTGTAATAAACCGTTCTCCTGCAATTTCAATTAAAAATGTTTCCCATTTAGTAACGATTGCATAACTCATTCGTGGCTAGCACCCACTCAGAAGGGCATAACAATGAGTAGAAAGTGTATAATATATATATGTCCAGAAACAATTCCACTGTTAAGAAAGAGCAGAGTTTGAGGTTCAAACATGCTTCACTTGTTCTACTTGCTTACTCTTGATAATATTCACTTTCTCTTTCTTAATCTAATCTTAACTACACTTACTGGTGTTCTTAAAACTAATTATCGAGATCTAAAGAAGAATATTCAACTAATCACCCCCAAAAACATAAATTCGAGTCTATAATCTCAACTAAACCACAAGCACCAGTAGGAAAAACACATTGAGAATACAATTTCTCACCTCGTTGCTGTAGTAGTTATTACGAGCACGGAACGACTTAACAGGGATGAAATTCGCGGCCGCCCTCAGATTCCGTGCCCTAAGTTCCTAATTATCAGTTGCCTGTGAAACAAAAAACCAATTCGCAGATTAAATAAATCGCCATACACTATTACGCGCCAGTACTCGAACAAATAGCAAAAAACGAATGAGAAATTACCCGTCTTTGACAATTTTGACATCGGGAGTTTGAGCTTAGACACGAAGTAACGAAGGACTTCGATGAGTACCATCACCACCGACAGTGGAATCAGCTCCTAAAAAGTACAAGTAAAACCGTATTAGATAAATCATAACAACGGAGGGGAAAATCTATGATTTGCAGGAGAAAGAGAACGAAGACGGAGGAGACGAGGCTAGGGCTTCAGCACATTGGGGAGGTAATTTGTATATATACCAGGTAGAATTGTAATTACGAGTGGATTGTGAGGGCAAAAAGGTAAAATAACTTACCGGGTTTGTGAAAGACGGACGAGATTAGCTTATCTCACCTCAGACGGTGGGATGGAGGATCCTGTATTTGGCGGATTTGGGCGGATTTGGACC